GAGAGAGAGAGAGAGAGAGAGAGAGAGAGAGAGAGAGAGAGAGAGAGAGAGAGAGAGAGAGAGAGAACGTTGTCTATGCGTCTGTCCGGGACTGTGGGACAGGCAAAGAAACGTCATGGGAGATAGGACATCGAGCTTGAGCGGAGCGCGGAAGAGGTCAACGACTGACTTTTTTCTTACCAATTTTTGATGATACGATTCCGCGGCGCGTTCGAGCTCTGGTGGCAAGGCAACAGTTGTGAGCTCTGGTCACCGTGGCAACGGTCTAGACTAAGTGTCTTTCTGTTCAGGGATGCACTTCGTTCACGGCCAATTTGTAAGCATGGGCTTCCGGGGAGTCTCTCCTCGACGTTGTGATGCATGGATTACGGTATTTGTTGAGAAAATTAATCAAGCTTTACAAAATTTCAACATACATATATTGTCAGAAAATCAGGACGATTCACATCATACTCGACCGCTGCTGTGGAGTCTACATGCTACAATTTTAATCATACTTCCGTTGTTCCTGCCTTTTCGAAGCCTTAGGACCTCGCTCCGCAGCTCAACATTCGGCATGCATCTGTTCAATATAAAGCTCAGATGCATGCAAACTGATCCCACATATTGAAAGTACCCTGGCCACCACGACGTCTAGATTCATTTCGAATGTTTGAAGTGGAGCGACGCTCCTTACCTCGGCAGAATCTAAGGCCATTTAGGTGGATGTCCACATCACGTCCGTTCGGCCGCGTTCTCAGGGCCGATCATCGCTTTTTTCCTTCTTTTCCCCTTTTCACACTCTGCTTGTTGCAGAGATTCTGTTGCCCATAGTGTATCGTAGTGAGGGGGGGGAAAAAAAAAAAAACTATCGTGAAATTCCTGCCCCGCGCCTCCCCACAGAGTGCGCCTTACGAGCAAATAACGCAACGTCATATCCACCGGCCTCACCATAGACTTGATTCACCTCGTCAGCACAGAGGCCGTTTCTACGGCGAAGGGACAAGAGTAAGAACACCCGGTCTGGTCTGCACCATGCCAAGATGCACACAAAGCTCATCGCGCTCCTCCCCTCGCCGTATCCAGACCCGAAACTTGTGCGATTGCCCGCCCGCATACACAATCCGTACGCGTACCAACGCTCGCTACAGCCTCTCTCTCTCTCTCTCTCTCTCTCTCTCTCTCTCTCTCTCTCACACACACACACACACACACACACACGTGTGTGTGTGTGTGTGTGTGGGTGTACGCCGTCGAATGTCTACTTGTCAAGTTGTCAGCCTGCCTGTCTGTCTGGACGTCGCCTATGCGCCGGCCTGTCCATCTGACTCTCCACTCCCCTCTTTCCCCTCTTCCCCCTTGTTTGCCTCCCTCTCCCCTCGTCTCCCTTGTCAGCGTAGCAGGGTGGTCGTCTGGAAGGTGGCCACTACTGATAGTGTCTTCGCATGCGTCCACAGACCCAGCTCATCTGGCCGAACACTACGCCCACGCAGCTGTTGATAAATGAGCCTGAGATCATTCCTGGTTTAATTATGAGGTCCGCCAACACAACACTGCCCGAAGATAAGGGGTGGGATCAAAGCCTAGTGCCCGAGGCTGAATTAGGCCTTGATCCCACTCCCTATCTTCCGGCAGTCTCGGTGGCCCTCTCAGCATTGTCGGTGTCCCCACTGTCTTTCGTGCACAATTCCTTTTTTTGGCCTTTCACAACCTAGGCTACCTACAACCGCTCTAAAGGCTATCTATATAGAGGGGACCCGTGCAAGCATAGCTACCTCCCACGGTGAAGGGGGTATTGCACCTGGCCCTTACCCTTTTTTTTTTCTTTTTTCTTTTTTTTTTTAAACAGACCCACCAGTGCTAGCGACATTGCCCTAGTGGCTTGGGGTGCAAGGTTCGGGCCGGCAGTGGGGGTCCGGCTAACGCACGGAGACCCAGCATTTTGCCAGTAGCTGCACCTCCCTTTTCGTCGTCCCCACCAGACCCCACGTTTTTCCATTTTCGAGAGAAGATGTCCTTCGGGAGGGACTATACAGAGAAGATTACCATGGCCCCCGGGGCCTGGACCCACTAGCCAAGTATTCTTTTTTTTTTTTTTTTTTTTTTGGCTAGCCAAGTATTCTACGATCTGTGACAGCATTTTTGTACCTTTTTATGGATTTAAGTGGTTTTTAAATGAATCAAACAAAATTAATTTCAGGAGGTTCATTGGACGAGTCAAAAAATATCAATGAACCGTGCCGAGGAAGAATCCAAATGCATGTGCAGTATTATCCTCACCTTGCCAGCCCCTACTACAATAAAACCGCCATGTCTGACATAAGGATAGTCTGCCCGCAATTTTTTTGATTTTTTTTTGTCGTACGGCAAAACGTAAACAGCAACGCACCAAGTCTCGGAAACGGTCCCCCCCCCCCCAAAGTCTGGAAATAGAGACCAACGTCAATGTTTAATATCAATAAAAAAACTCAAGTAGCAGCCAGTTCATTGGTAGGTGCTTTCTCATAGGCACCACTGTATACTGCATCAGGCGGGCCCGTCAATGCGAAGTGAGATGTGCGGCTCGCGTCTGTCACCCCCAGCCGCACCTGATCGAAACGTCAACCATGAAGTACAATACCTCGCTAGTGGGTCCAGGCCCCTGTGCAAGGATGACATGCGGACATCCGGGACTATATAGAGAAGATTAGCACGGCCCCCTACACAAGGATAAGGGAGATGTGTCGTTTGAGTCTGTCACCCCCAGCCGCACGTGATAGAAAACGTCAACCACGAAGTAGAATACCTCGCTAGAGGGTCCAGGCCCCTGTGCAAGGATGACATGCGGACATCAAGGACTATATAGAGAAGATTAGCATGGCCCCCTGCGCAAGGATGACACGCATAAATCGAGAAATGGTCCAAAATTTTCAGAAAAAAACAAAACAAAAAAAAGGGGGATTTCTTGTTTTTGTGTTTTGAGAAACATCTCCGTTGGACTGATCCTTTTTTTTCCTTTATTTCTTTTTCTTTTCTTGGAGAAACATCTCTGTGGGAGGGGCCCCTGTTGATGGAGGTGATAGGAGCACCCCTCATTAACAGGGTCCCTGTTGGTGATGACTCCATTCTATTGGTGGGGAGCACCACCTGCTGGAAAGAGGGTCTAGTGTCCCTTATTACTATAATTTACAAAGTTTGCCTTCCCAGCCACATGTCTGAGCTAGCTCTATTCTGGCTTTTCATGTCTAAGATTGCACTTTTGCTGTCCCTATCCCTCTCTCTTTTTTTTTTCCATCTGTGACCCTAGCTCTCCCTCTCTCCCTCTCTCTGTTACTGCTTTCTCCCATCTGGCTGTCCCAGTAATATGGTATGGAAATTGAATTTGTTGAGGTTCATATAACAAAACAGCCATCAATGTTTGATAATTAACTTCTGTGTTTCTTGTGTTGTTGCTGCTGCTGCCATCTCCCATTGCTGCCGTCCACCAGTATGGCCTTCATTTTCAGACTGATATGTGCTGCACAGGGTCTTCCGTATTGAATTGGTGAAGGTGACTCTCCTGGGCAAGGGGAAGGGGTAGTCAGCAGGGCCAGGGCCGCCAAAATGGTGGCAAGACCCTTACAAACAGGCTGCCCCCTTTATACGTAATCTAATATAACCGGATCAATCAGGTTCATGCCCAACAGGAACATTCAGGACAACATTATGCTGGTCAATGAAACCATCAGGTATGCCCGACACAGGAACATGGATGCAGCAAAACTATTCATAGACCTTGAGAAAGCCTATGGCCACATCAATTGGGACTTCTTAGATGTGTGCCTTAGGCGAATGAATTCCGGAGAGGCCTTCTGTCAGTGGGTAAACATTCTGAAGAGAACCACTTCCACAAACCTCACGTTAAACCACCAGTACTTGGCCCAGCTATCAAGTCTGAACCTCCGGCGACCGGTATGCCAAGCCTGCCTAGCCTGGCAGTACCAGTCGCAGGACAGGCCGAGGCTGGGGGGGACCAGCACCAAGAAAAAATAAAGAAAAAGAAGAAACTAACAACATCAATAGCAACGTGAATGCAGTATAATACATTCACGGAAGTGCTGGTATGAGCATGCCCTGTGCGAGGGCGTGTCAGCCCCGATACGTTGCTGCAAGATCTCTTTGGCACGAGAAGACAAAAAAGAAAACAAATGTCACCGAGTAGTCAGAATCCAGTAGAAAAAAGAAAGAGAAAAGAAACAAACACCCCTCTGGCCCTAAAACCGGTTACATACATTTATGCGTATGTGTGCCCTCAATGAGGGCTTTGAGAGCATCACGGAAAACGACCTGCCAGACTGGCAGGGGATCAATTGAAAAGGAAAAGACAAAAAAATGAAAAAAAAACGTAGTGAATCTATCCCACATCTTAGACAGGTATTTTCCAAACTTCTGCACACAGTGCACGGCCTGTTGGACTATCTATCCCCGACGGCCCTTCATTCATCAAAGTTGCCTTTCTTTTTTTCTCACGTTGGCACTGTAGCGTCCAAATTCGGACTACCGGTTAGTAGGTGGACGACACCCCCCACATGCGCGGCGTGTTAACGGGAATCGCCCGCGACCGATAGCTGGGCCAAGTACTGGTGGTTTAAATGGCCACCTCTTCCCGACTTTCCTCCTTCAAAGGTCAGGTAGGCAAGGTGACTCAATTGCTCCCCTACTCTTTGTGATCGTAATGGAGGCCCTCCCCTCGCTGATCAGGTCCTATCCAAATATAAAAAAGATCAGCATCCCATAAATTCCCCTGCATCTTGACCCAATAACATCCCTTTTCACGAATGATCTTTTGGTGTTGATCCGGGCCAACGATCAGACCACGAGGGTGGTCAAGGAGGCTATTCACCTATTCTCACAAACAACTAATATGACAGTGGACTGGTGAGCAAAGACAAAGAGTTGGTGGCTACACTCGCATGACTTCCACCACCGCCCCATCCAAGTGCGACATGGCGAGCCAAGGAAGAGGCAATCAGGGTGCTTGGAGTGAGACCCTCTAGTACAGATAGCCCTAAAGCACATTTGCAGATGGATAGGCCTCCACACCTCGCTTGTTTAGGAAGGGCCTTGGTCATAAACAACTCCATCATGGCAGCGAATTTGTATAAAACCATTTTCCGGGGATTGACAGCCAAACAATTGGTCAGCCAGAGAAAAGAAGCAGCCACATATCTTTGGAAAAATGAGGAAGTCGGGCATTTTTGGGGGCCATACTCTCACGCCTCCCTGTAAGGATCTCACTCATCATCGCCAAGGGATTTCAGTGCAACACCGGATCAAAACCTGGATAGATGATCAATTTTTTTCCCATGCCCATCTTACATAAAGATTAATGAGAAGATAATAGTTAGCTTATGTCACACATCCAGCCTTTTTAACTCCTTTAGAAGACTTAACCCTTCATTTATGACGACCTCATGTTTTAGAAATAATCAATTTGGTAAAAACACAAAATTCAGAATTGAACTCATCCTAGTGTTAGAAGAAATGCAAGGGTCACTATAGTTTGCCAGCATCCTTCCACGTAGTCCTTTCCCAGGCTTGGACCATGCTATGGGGATGGCAGTATTTGTCTTTCATAAGATACTACAAACTAAACACATCTCACATAAAAAGCCCAAGTTTTCAACATTGCCTAGAAGATGTATGGGATTTCTTAAAAGAGCAAAGACCCCTTATAAACAATGATATTAACTGGTTCAACAACGATCTAGAATTCTTGGGCCGTCAATGCAATGAATATTTAAAAGCCTTGGCCAAACAAAGACATCAACATGAAACAAAACTCCATAAAGGAATCCATAATCTATAAGATTGGGAAACCAACCAGGCTGGTCAATCAAGAAGACTTAGAACCACTCACTAGCGGTTAATGGAAGGCCAAAAATTCGAGGTTTTTCGCCGCGTCGCTACAAGCAATGTTGTCGAAACTTTTGCAAATAAACTATGCAGGGTCATAATACAAAACATACCCTAAAACACATATATAACAGGTAAAAAGAAAAACCGAGAAAAGAGTAAAAATTCAGGGAAATATGACAGTTTCGGTGAAAAATTCGTCAAAATTCGCCGAATTTTGGGCCTTCC